TAGCCTGGGTGTCTAGCCTGGGAAGAATTAGCTAGCAGCCCAGACAAGCTAACAAGTTCTAAATTCTCGGAGCCAAGGTGCCAGGACAGCCAATAACTGTCCAGGATCAGAGCTTGGAGACGGACGCGGAGAACTCATTGGTTTGAGTTTCCTGAAGCGAGGCCAATTAGAACGAGAACAGAGGAAGTCAGCAGCCAATGGAAGCAGAGAGCTTCATTGGGAGCAGAGAGACAAGGAAATGCTGTCACTGCCGTTAACACGCACGTGGAGGGTTGTTAAAGGTATAGGGACCGCTGCAGCCGAGGCAGGGGCGGGGCGGAGTCTCGGGAGCTGGAGAGGAGTGGTCTGCATTAAGTGGCTGAGCTACTGGGGAAAAAAAAAAAGCCTAGGGCAGGAAGCACCTCCTGGAAGCAGAGGTTGGTAGATTGGGGAAGGAAACAAGGCATTAGGGCCGAACTCTGAAGCAAGGTGATGGGACATGGAGAAAAAGGAGTTAGTCTGGTGGAGGGAAAAGGCTGTGGCTTGAGAGTAGCAAAGGTAGAAACGGATTGTGGACCATATAGGACAAGTGTTGAGGGCCTTGTGGGGTGGTACTCTGGGGACTGGGAAGATGCTCTGGTGTCATGGGGAAGACTGCGAGGTGAGAAGGGAGGCAGCTGAATAGAAAGAAGAGGGAAAATTGCGATCCGGCTACCCCTGACCGGAGTGGTATTCCCCTATGCCTTGGAATCCACTCCTGCCTCGTTTCCCTTAGGGGTGGGCTGGGCTCAGCGCATCCTATACCTGGGCAGTGGATAAAACATACTAGCCACTGCGCTAACAGATGGAAGGGCTGCCCCTCTCCCAGGCCTCTTGCATCTTGGTTATTTCCCCTTTTTTACATTTTCTTTTTCCTTCCTAGGTAGTGGGGAGGCATAGTTCATGGTCAATGCCAGCAATAGCTAGCTGAGGGTACAAGGGACGGGAGCCTGCAGAATGACCTCAGGCTGTAGATGTAGGACTGAGAAGCAGGTGTGGTGGAGATGACTGTAGCCCTGGTGTCTGCCAGCATCTGGAATGGGAACCACAGGAGCAAGCCATCTAGACAGGCACCTAGACCTTTGTCAGGTAAGGAACTTCTTGGCAGGCTTACATCTGCCGCGGGAACCTGTCATCCATCCTATGTTCAGAGCTTGAATCAACGGAATCTGCTGCCCAGAAACAAGACGGAGCTTGCTGGCCATAGTGGTGCGTGTCTATACATAATCTCCGCACTCAGTTGAAGGCCAGCCTTGGCTACATAGCAAGTGTGAGGCTAGCCTGGACCGCATAAGATCCCGTCTCGAGAAAGACAAAGCTCAGTTGTATGAGTCTGTGGGTTCTCCACCGGTTGGCATTTTGGGGGCTATCATTGTTGCTCCCATGAACATGATGGAGACTGCAGTTGACCTAAGTAGTCATTAGTGTTCCTTGGACAGCTCCACTCTGGGCTACGTGTTCATTGGAGCTAGAGTTTTATAGGCTAAGACTGTAAAGTCGAGAGCGTGAGCTGCGTGTGGCGCCACACACCTGTGACTCCAGCCCTTGGGAGACTGAGGGGAGAGGATCATGAGATCTAACTTGGCTACATAGTGACCCCTGCAGGCAGGCATGTCTCTGTGAGTTCGAGGCCAGGCCTGGTCTACAAAGCATCTCAAAAACCAAAAACTCCTACGAGATGTGTATTTTTGTATCCTATCCATCTGATAACCCTTTGCTATAGATTACCTTTGGGCCAGGCGTTGAGTGAGGTCTTACTGTTACCAAAGTGAAGGCAACAGCCTGGTTCCTGTCCACAGTGGGGCAGACCTATGAGCCAGAGAGAATCGCAGGTGGTAACATGTTTCTGTTAGGCAAAGGGAAACAGAATCAATGGCGACAGCCCAGTTCAGACAGGCTTCAGCGGAGGAACTGACAATAGATTTGTCTCAAGGAGTATTTGTCAGATGGGCCTTGGGACAGGTGTCAGGAAGAGGGAAGGTGGCCGGCAGTAGAAGAAGATGTACCTGGGGAGGCAAAAGGCAGGCGGATCTCTGAGTATAAGGCCAGCCTGGTCTACAGAAAAGCCAGAAAAAAAGGAAGAAAGATTTCATTCAGGGCTGGATAGGTAGCTCAGTGGCAAATGCTTTCCTTCCACCACCATAAAAACAAATGCAAACCGGGAGGGTGGGGGGATCTCTGGGTTTGACAGCCTCTCCCTTCCTTGGCATTTATCTATGAAGTTTGCTGTGGACTACTCTGTTTTCCCTTTGTCTCGAGTTAACAAACAGGCCTGTGTTGTGCGTTTCTGCTTGGTGGGATTTGGGGTCTGAACCACAAAGCTGCCCTGCGGTTGTGTAACCAGCGGCAGAACAGCCATGGCTGGCGCTTCCTTTAGTCTTTTTTTGGAACGGGCACTGCATTTTCGTATTGGTACTGCATGCAACTTTTTAGTGTTCTTCTTTTCTTGAGAGAGGCCTAACTCAAGCCAAGCAATGTCTTGCAAAATTGCATTGCGTTTCACAGAGAGCTGCACTGCTCTCTCAGGATGAAGCTGAGAAGCTTGGGGTTCAGAGGCTGTTTCCTGACTGTTTGCTTCCAAAGTCTAACTCCCCCCCTATTTTTTTAAAAGACAAGACAGTTTATCACTATGTAACTCTGACTATTCTGGAACTTGCTGTCTTCCTATGTAAATCAGGCTGAGTACAAACTCCTGCCTCTTGTCTCTTTAGTACTGGATTAAAGTCATGCATCACTTTTATTCATTTTTTTAAACTACCTTTTCATTCAATTGTCTGATGAGATTATTGCTCCTTTCTTTCATTTTTTTTTCCCCTTCAAGACCGAGTCTCACTATTTTGCTCTTGTTTCTTGTCCTAGAACTCATTCTGTAGATTTTGAACTCACAAAGATCCTCTTGCCTCTGCCTCCCAAGTGCTGGGATTAAAGGCATGCACCACTATACCTACCTGTTTTTTTTTTTTAACTTGGATTTCACACATTTTTTAAATATTTATTTATTTAGTATACAATATTCTGTCTGCTTGTATGCCTGCAGACCAGAAGAGGGCGCCAGACTTCATTACAGATGGTTGTGAGCCACCATGTGGTTGCCGGGAATTGAACTCAGGACCTTTGGAAGAGCAGGCTCAACCACTGAGCCATCTCTCCAGCCTCCCTAGCTAGGTTTTTTTGTTGTTGTTTTGGTGTTTTTTTTTTTTTTTTTTTTTTTTTTGCTTTGCTTTTTGAGACTACATTTCTCTTTGTAACCCTGGCTATCCTGGAACTGCCCCTGTAGACTAGGCTGGCCTCAAACTCGGAGGATTCTGTCCTGCCTCTGCCTCCCTTAAATCCCTAGTGCTGGGATTAAAGGTGTGCGCCACCACTGCATGATACTGGTTTTGCTTTGTAATTTTAGCGATCGGATTTGTATTTTGGAACCTGGCACTGGTGACCAAGTGGACAACAAGGAAAGGAGGGTGAGACCAGTGACAGGAAGCAGCTGGGAACAGCTTTAGTGTTATTCCAATGGAAGCTGGAGGTGAGGGGTGAGGAGAGCGATGTGGCCAATGCGTAAGTATTGAGAGGGAGTGTGGAGAGGGGATCAGCTCACAGGACTGACTCTAGGCTGTATGTGGGTGCTGCTGCTACTTATCAGTGGTGGAAGTTTGGGGGGCAGATGAACCCATCAGCAGAGCTGTCGAGGGTTTGGCCCGGATGGAAGGTCATGAGCCTCCAAAATGGCACTTAAAGCCATAGGAACGCTGAAGCTGTATGAGAAGAGTGGCTTGGAATTTGGGGCAATGGTGAAATGATGCTGTCATGGTACCACCTCTAGCGCTGCAGGAGGGAGCCGGGAAGGGTCTTTTGTTCCCGAACAGTGGGGTGGGCTGGGGACCACAAGGCACACGGAAAGGTGAAGGCTGGCTTCCCGCCAGAGCAGTTTATCAGGCTCCCCAGCTGCGCCAGAGCTCTTAGGGGCTTGCTGTGGGTGGGACTTGGGGAGGCCCCACCTTATCAGTGTCCTGCCAGTGGGGCTGTGGGGCTAAGCCCTTCTTCCTGCCCCGAGATGGCTTCCCTACCTGGTCTGTAGGTTCATCCAGTGTGGCTGGTGTTGTTCATGAGCCTGGGAGCTTCTCTGAGGTGGGGTGAGGGAGATTACATGGCTTCTGTGGCTCCATCTAAAAATCTTAGCCCACAGACATGCTCAGGAAATGCTCATCTGTAGTGAAAAAGGACGCGTCCAGGTTCAGTGAGAGACCCTGTCTCAAGAGAAGAGGACACCCGGTGTCCTCCTCTGACCTCTGTATGCAGCTGCCACCTGTCCTGTGTTTGCTACAGTTCCTTTAATTTCACCTTGACCTCAAAGATTTCCGACAAGGGCTAGAGAGCTAGCCCAGCCCTGAGGGCTCCTTGGGATGGTAAGGGAACCGTCCTGTCTGTGGAGGACAAAGTATAAGATGCATAAGATGCGCAGGGTCAGAAGGGCTCCATCCATCCTCCCTCAAGCAACAGGTCTTGGAGGTACTCACTGCAGTGCCCACTTCAGTTCCTCTCAGGCTGTGCATCTTATACATTGTCCTCCACAGACAGGATGGTTTCCTCCTGCCATTGTGAGTTCAAGGCCAATGTAGTCTACAGAGCTGATGCAAGACTGGTTAGTGGAGAAGGAAAAACAGACATCTGTATTAATCTCTGGGCTCCGGAAGTCCCCAGAGGTGCTCCAAGCACTCCTCTCCTTTGGGGCCATGGTTTGGACTTGCTAGGGCTAGGAGGGTATGTTGAGAGTGCGGGGCTCCCTCCTCAGGAGTCCCTACCGTGGACTCTGAAGGAACAGACAAAGGGAGCCCAACCGCCGAGAGCAGACTTTGCCACGGGCAACTAAATTTATTAGCAAGAGATTTTTGTTAGCCCAGCACTGACCAACAAAATACATCATTAATAAAGGATAACAAATCTGTCACTTAATTAATAAAACATCCTCAAGCAGTTACAACAAAAAATAAAGTTGGATTTTTGTTTAATTTAAAAGCCTCAAAAATAACAAGCAATATGTTTTTTTTAAAACATGTCGTAGACACAATCGTCTATTATACAATATACACTGTACACAATAGAGCTCAGGCAGGTAAGGTGACGAGATGAAAGGGTGTGGAGGGAGTCAGAATGGAAGTTGTTTCCATGTGAGTCCAGATCTGAATTGAAATGTGTCATTTAGAAAAGAATTGTTAGTGAGAAAAAAAACTCCTATGCTCAGCATTGCCCCCGAAACCCTAAACTGAACGCAGGTGAGGGGCGGCAGCTAGTAAAGAAAGGAAGAAGGGAGCAATTAAATAAAATGTCTTTAAAGCACACACATACACAGTGTTCATCATCTGAAGTCCGAGAATAAGGCAACGTTCTCCATAGAAAAAGGAGTGGGAGGAGTCCGCCGGCATCTGACCTTTCAAATAGGAAGTTGGAATGTCTGGAGGAGAGCCATGGCAGGGGCTGGGCAGTGGAGTGGAGGCAGCCTCCCAGCCCTCCGCAGAGGTGGGCGTCAGTGGGAGGCTGGGTACAGGGCCCTAGTGGCCAGGGGAGGTAACTGAGGGGGACAAGAGGCAGAGGACTGGGGGGCATGGCACAATGGGACTCCGGCAGTGTTGGGGCAGGGCATGGGTTAGGATAGGGGGCTCACTTTGCTCCTCGACGGAGTGAAATGCATGTTTTTCCTTTGGAAATAAGGGTCCCCACGCGTCCTGGTTTAGAACGTCTCATTGGGCATGGCCAGTGTGCGTAGCCTGGGCAGGCCAGGAGCTCCTGATGAGAAGGGAAGGGCCTTTGGAAGGAGGGGAGCATAGGAGAAAAGCCCCTCCCTGTGGGGACACAGCCACAGAACAGGAGTAGGGTGAGGGCCGCCCAGGGCAGTTGTGGGCACCTGTCCACCACAGACCCAGGCCAATTAGATGCCTCTTGCTTCAGCTGGCCTTACAAGTTCTTCGTGACTAGGTGGGTCTTGTAATGTTTGGTGAGGTGGTCACTCCTCATGAAGCGCTTCTGACACTGGGCGCACTCGAAGCGCTTGTCCCCTGGAAGAGGAAATAACTGTTACCAAAGAGCCCACGTACAGACACTGCCACAGTCCCAGAAAGGAGAAGCACGCGTGAGAGCCCCAGGAAAAGCTGACCTGGCCTCATCTCCATATGCCACTAACAGGGTCCTTCCCGGCATCTTCTGATCTCATCTCTCTGCCCCAGCTGTCCCTTCTAATCCACCTCGTTCCAATGAGTTCCTTGTTCCCTGCCAAGACTGTTCCCTTGAGCCTCTGTAAACCTGCTTTATTCTGGACTGTGTGCCTAGGAGTTTAAACTTTGATCGACATCCTCCTTTCAGGAAGACATGCTCACCCACCAAGTTCTGGACCACACTGTCAGGGTATTTATACTTCTGCCTCTGAGGGGGTCTGATCCAGCTAGAAGCTGTAACTTTGGGTCACATGTCCCCTGACTCCAGTCTCTGCTCAGCAGGGCACCATTCACTACAGCTGTATCTGCCAGTGTTCCTTGTGGACACTGGGCACCTTCTATAGGGTGCTCTGTATTTGTGAGTGCGTTAAAGCACAGGACTGTGATAGCAACCTTGACACCAACCCTCGCAGGCCTGTAATACCAGCATCCAGGAGACAGGAGGACCACCAGAGTTTAAGGTAGACCTAGGATACACAACAAAATCTTGTCTTAAAAAAGCTGGGTATGTTGATTTCCACCTGTAATCCCAACGCTTGGAAAGCTGAGACAAGACAAAAGAGAGGACTGGCTTAGTTCACGAAGATTCGTGCCTGCCTGTATCCCAAGCGCAGAGGGCTGAGTCAAAAGGGGTCAAGTCCTAAGACAAACTGGTACATCTCAAAAAAAGGGGGGTGGGCTTGAGAGCCCGAGGGCTTGAACTGGACCCCAGCTTGCCCACCACAAGCCACTTCTCCAAGCGTCTCCAAGGCCTTCCTGGGATTAACTGAAGTTAGCTGAAAATGCAAACCACAGTGCCTGACAAACCTCTTCAGTGCTTGGTGGGATTTTCTGATTTATTTTTACTTGTGACACAGTCTCTCATGTTACCCAGGCTGGCTGTGAATTCCTGATCCTCCTGCCTCAGTCTCTCTGACAGGACGATAGCTGCCCAGCTCAGAGCTTGTTAAGCAGCTCTGCAGAAATGACAAAAGGTGACCACGCTGTGGAGTTCAGCCACCCGACTCTGGGCAACAGCTCAGTGCCTTGGAGGAGCTCCATGGCGGTCTGCATGGCTGAGGACACTCCTGAGCAGCCAGGGTGGCGGTGCACAAAGGGCAGCTGAAGGGCACAAGGAGACTGACCTGTGTGGGTTCGAGCATGTCGCTGAAGCTCATCACTCCGTGTGAACCTCTTCCCACAAAAGAACCAGTTGCAGACAAAGGGTCGCTCGCCAGTGTGCAGACGGACATGGGCCCGAAGCAAGGATGTCTTCCGGAAAGTCTTTCCGCAGTCTGGGATGTGGCATACGTGCTTCTTCTTGCCCTGCTCCCCAGACCTGAGGGGGTTGGGTTGACAGTGGGGAGGAAACGGGAATAGGAGGGGAGAGAACGAAGAGAAACATAGGAGTCAGGTCAGAGAGCTCAGGAGAGCTGGGAGGCAAGAGTTGGGCGCTGACACCTGTCCACAGAGAACTGTGGAGCAGGGCGTGTGTCAGGCTGTGGGTCTGGCCCCGGTTGTCTGTTACCTCTTCTCCCCATCCTTGCAGTTGGGACACGTGCAGGCCATACGCCGCCTCTTCTCCCCTGGCTGGGCCTCTCCAGCTAGGGCCTGCTCCATCTGCAGCTGGATCTGGGTGGGGCTCAGCCCACTGATGGTCAAGTTGTTTCCAGAAACATTCTGCACTGTCAGTTGCTGCTGCCCTATGGAAGAGAGAAGGACTTGGTTCAGGAAAGGAAGTCCAGGCCAGACCTTCTTCCTCCGCCTCCTGCACAAGTTAAGGATGAGTCATGGCAGTTAACACTCTGAAGAGCAGTGAGAGCCAGGACCTCTCTGAGATTCTAATGCTTCTGGCAGGAAACGCTCCTAAGAACTTTTTATTAATGACCTTTGGGAAAATCACTCTAGGCTACCTTGTCTTCCCTCTTAGTGTCTCCTAAAAGTGGACAGACCAAATGCATAAAATGCAAGATAGAAATTCAGTAGGGAGGAAGAAAGTCGTGACCTCAACCTGGACAGCTGCCCTACTCCCATGCAGAATGAAGACCACCTCTGCTAGGCAGCTCAGCTCACCCTCTTCCCTAGGTTTCTTAAAGATCTACTTACGTATTTTATGCATATGGGTGTTTTGCATGCATGTTTATCTATATACCAGAAGAGGGCATCAGATGCTATGGGACTAGTTACAGACTGTCGTGAGCCAGCATGTGGGTGCTGGGATTTAAACCCAGGCTCTGGAAGAACAGCCAGTGCTCTTAACACAGAGCCATCTGTCCCTGTCCCTCTTATTTTCAAGACTGCATTCACAGCATTTATCCTCATTGAACTCGTGTGCAGCACAAGCTTGTCCTACTGTCCAGGACACCCTTCTCTGCCACTAAACCTCAGCACCAGCCTTTCTCTTTAAGAAGCCTTCCTTAAAGCCGGGCGGTGGTGGTGCACGCCTTTAATCCCAGCACTTGGGAGGCAGAGGCAGGCGGATCTCAGTGAGTTCGAGACCAGCCTGGTCTACAAGAGCTAATTCCAGGACAGGCTCCAAAACCACAGAGAAACCCTGTCTCGAAAAACCAAAAAAAAAAAAAAAAAAAAAGGAAGCCTTCCTTAGCAGAGAGTTGGTGGCACACGACTTTGAGCTCAGCACTTGGGAGTAGAGGCATGAGTTCAAGTCCAGCCTGGTCTACAGTGTGATACAGTGTGAGTTTCATGACAGCCAGAGCTACACAGAGAAACCCTGTCTCGAAATGGCTCAGGATTCCCACATGCTGAATACAAAGTCAACACCCTGGCTGCAGGACTTTCCCTCACCGCCAGTGTTGGTGATGGTGACAGGCACACCCTGGACTTGGACTCCATTGATGTTGATGGTCTGCATGGCCTGAGCAGCTGCCGCCAACTGTGCAGCATTCAGACTGATGATGCTCCCAGCAGGTGCAATCTTTGGCAGGGGTCGCTCTTTTCGGAGAATTGCAGCTGAATGCTTTTTGCTGGTGCCACTCAGTTGGGGAGCTCGGGGTGCAGGGCTGTTACAAGTGGTGGTTGAGGTGGTTGCAGTTGTTGTTGAGGGGCTGTCCTGGACGAGGACTGTCTGTACCTCACCAGAAGGTGTACGAATATAAACCTGAGGGACCAGAGAGGAGAGTCCTAAGAGATGGCACCGGCACCTTCACACAGCCTTCCTTATCCAGGGGAAAACTGGACACCTCCGTCATCCCGTCCTCCAACCAGCCCAAACATGTATCCAGACAATACTGATGTTCAACAGGGCACTAGACCGGCATAAACAGTTACTGACCTGCGGCCAAACCTTTAATTTCCTTAGTATGGAAAAATGTAACTACTAAATCTCAAAATTGGAAAATTTAAAACATTTTAAAAAAGCACAACACCCAGGCCAGCCTAACCTACATAGCAAAACCACTTTGAAGGGGGAGGGGGGCTCCGTGTTTAGGAGCATCGGCTGCTCTTCCAGAGGACCCAGGTTCCTCTTATCCACATGGCAGCTCGCAATCATCCCTAACTCCAGTTCCAGAGGATCTGATGCCCTCTTCTGACCTGGGGTACCAGACATTCACAAAGTACACATACATACACACAAGCAAAACACTCATACACAGAAAAGATAATACATCTAAAAATTTTCAAAGAGAAACAGGATATTTGTCTTATCTGAAAATGTCATCACTCTTCAAAATACTAATGAAATACAAAGAGGAAGAAAATTTTTATCTCGTGTGTGTGTGTGTGGTATATGTGTGTTTATGTGTGCACATGTGCTTGTGGAAGTCACAGGACAGCCTTGGGTGTGAATCCTTGCCTTCTACCTGTGTGAGGCAGGGTCTTGTTCATGCCTGAATGCCCAGCTGGCTGGCTCACAGAGCTTCTGGTAGCTCTGTCTACTCCCGTGTGTGAGCACTGCAAGGGCAGGTGCAAGCTACTGCGTCCGCTTAATGTGGCTTCTCACTCTGGTCCCCACACTTGCATAGCATGCATTTCACCCTCTGAGTGGTGGGAGATGTCTCCAGACACACAGGAAAGTAACTATTAAAGTGCACAGATCTGTTAGGCATTGACACTGTAACCACCCCGGCAATGGGACAGCAGAGCCCGGCACACATCCACTCTGGGACACCGCACTGAAAGCATGCACAGCCTGCACCCGCGCATGCAGGAAACCACGCGAACACACAGTAGAAGGGTCATGCCGTCAAGTTAAAAAGGAAGCGGGCTGGGGATAGCTCTGAAGCAGAGCACTTGCCTAGGATCCAGAGTCCTGAGTTTAGTTCCCAGCCCCATGGAGTGGGGTGTGAGGAAGTGTCTCAGATAAGAGACGTGACAACCACGTGTAAGGTGGACAAAGTCTTTAGGTCAAGTCCTTAAGAATTATTAACTGGAACACGCAGTGAAGCCTAAATGGAGCCTCCCAATTATACCAGCATCTCACTACTGATTTCATGAGGTTTTTTTTTAAGCTTTATTTATTTATTATGTACACTGTGTTCTGCCTGCATGTTATGCCTACAAGCCAGAAGAAGGCACTGTATCTCTTTCTATATGGTTGTGAGCCACCATGTGATTGCTGGAAACTGAACTCAGGACCTCTGGAAAAGCAGCCAGTGCTCTTACTTGCTGAGCCATCTCTCCAGCCACTTGGCATCTAAAGAAAAGACAGAGTTGAACAGCTGGCACAACGACCAGCTGACTTAACAGCTGCAAAAGAGGGGACGTAGAAGACGCGACAGCAGCAGATGCAGAAACAGTTGTGAAAGCGGCCTTCTGGATGCTGGCCTAACCAAGAGGCGAGGACACAGTGTGATGAGAGCAGCCAGAAAGAGATGTCATCATGTTAAGTGAAATACAGCAGGCTCGGAGAAACCTCACGTGGGATCTGGACTAGAAGGCACACACACTCCACATGCACACACTCCACATGCACACACACTCCACATGCACACACACTCCACATGCACACACTCCCACATGCACACACACTCCCACATGCACACACACTCCACATGCACTCCACATGCACACACCCTCCACATGCACACACACACTCCACATGCACACACTCCCACATGCACAAACACTCCCACATGCACACACACAAATGAAGCACAAGAGAAACCATGTTGGGGTAAGGGGAGAAGAGGGTGAGCACAGGTGGAAAGCAGCAAGTATGGCGGCTCACACCTGGGATCCCAGCATTGACACTGGAAAAGGACTTCAAGTTTGAGGTCAGCCTGGGCCACGCAGTGAGGTGAAGGCCAATCTGAGCTATACAGTGGGGCGCTGCCTCAGAAAAGGAAAAAGCCTAACTGTCCTACCTGTGATCTTTCTTGTCATTAACAGTAGGCAGCAGTTTGTCCTCGTGAACTTTCCTACTTTACTGTGGTTCTGACCTGAATTCTCATTCTTGCTGCTGTTGTATGTAATTTTATGATGAAAACATTTTATTACAAAAGTATTCCTATCTACCCCACAGTCATGCCTGGAGCTACCCCACAATGAAAGAACACAACAGACCAGATATCCCTGTCCCATCTGATTTCTACAGATCAGGCCTACTTGGCCTAAGCCCCGAAGAGACCCCAGGGCAGAAGTCATTCCCTGCCCACCCAAATGATGGTGACTCCAACTTCCCATCAGACCTGGCGATGATCTACCTCAGTTTCCAAAGCAAGCCAAAGGGTGAGCAGAGGAGAGGGAGGCGGGGCAGAGGGACTGTGGTACCTGGGTTGGCGCAGACTCCGTTGTCTGGATCTGAAAGTTCTGGGAGGGCTTCTGGGGAACGGTGGGGAGGGTTGCAGAGGCAGCCTGCACCACCCGCAGTGCCTGCTGGGGGATCTGCACTACCTGCTGCTGCTCAGCCTTGGGGGGCACCACTTGGACTTGCTGGACCACAGCCGGCTGGCCCCCACCAGGGCTTTGGACAATCAGCAGGTTATTTCCTGCCTGGATGATGTTGTCTGCTGTGGTCTCAATCAGCACCGTCTCCACCTGCTCAGCCACAGCCACCGATGGCTGCGAGACAGGAAGGCTCTTCTTCCTGGCTTTTTTGTTAGTCTTAGACAATGGGGTGGGGGGGCTCTCAGTGAGGAGCTGAGCGGGGGCCCCAGCATCACTGGTGTTCACCAGGTTGTTGACCGGCAGGGTAAGTGTTACGTTGCCGCCCCCACCTGTCAGCTTCACCACGTTGGCCCCACTCTGCACAGGGGTGGTAGTTGTATTTGACTTCTGGACAGGAGCTGGCTTGATGGGCACAGGCTTATGGCCAGATGACGAGGGGGCGATGATGGCTTGGTTGGTGCCTGGGATGATCTGGATCTGGTTGGTGAGATTGGGCTGCATCTGGATGGTCTGGGAACTGTTCCCTTGAATCTGCGGGACTGCTTGGTACTGTACGCTTGCATTTGATCGGCTCCCTTTGTTGATCACAGTGGGGTTCTGGATGGCAAACACCAACTGCCCTCCAGGATAGGAGGCACTCAACTGAGAGCCCTGAATCTGAAGTATATTTCCTTTAGATGACAAGATGCCAAAGCTATTCTTGCTGGGACTGAGTGGAAGAGGGGCTGGTTTAATAGGGACCAGTTTCCGTGGGGCCGGCTGTGGGGGAGCAGGAGGTGTCACTGCAGCTTCAACAGCTGGTGGGCCAATTTTGCTACATGTCGCAGCAAGCAGGGCCAAGGGAGACGGCTGGGAGTCCTGCAAGAAGAACCAGCAGGGGACAGGAGTGAGATGGGAAGACACCCTTCTGCCACAGTGATCCCAGCAGCTCTGAGAGCTCCTCCCCACCCATTCCAGGCCATCACCATATCCCCATGGCCCCTTGCTGTGGTTCCCACTCCATAAAGTGAAGGAAAAAGACAGGGAAGGTCTCTCAGGGTGAAACCCCTCCCCTCCCCACCAGAAGTGGCCCTGGCCATGGCAGACCAACAGCATGAGATGCTTTCCTACTGGTCTTGCTGGCCTAGTGTTAAGGACAATGACACATCCTGGATCTCAGATGGGGTTTTATTTTTGGTCTTTTGAGACAAGGTTTCTCTGTAGCTTTGGAGCCAGTACTGGAAACTAGCTCTTGTAGACCAGGCTGGCCTAGAACTCACAGAGATCCGCCTGCCTCTGCCACTGAATCTGAAGCTCACTGAGCAAGACCAGGTGGCCAGTGGACTATAGGCATGAAGTACCATGCCCAGCTTTTTACATGGGAACCTGGAATGGAACTCAGGTACCCATGCATGTGCAGCAGGGACTTACTAACAGCCTAGCCTTGGGAACGCCAAGTTTAATACTGCTCTTTCTGCACAGTTTTGACACCTTAGCCAAGTGGTTGTGTCTCAGTTCAGAGAATGAGGATACGTGGATCTTCCTGGGTGTTTGCAGGCAGAATAAGGTGGAAAATCCACCTCACTGTTCTTCCAGCCTCTGGCCCCTGCCCTCAGAGCCCACTGTGCACTTGCCTGGGTAGCAGCGGCAGCAGGCTGCAGGTAGTCACTAGGACTAACAGCAGCGGTGGCGGCCATGCTCATCTGTGGATCTGCTGGGAGAAAGATGGAGCAATAGGTAAGACACCTGAAGAGAACCCAGGGCTCTTTGCCTCAGCTTTTCATTTTGCCTCTCTCGCTGCTTCTCTGAGAGGTTAACAGCTTTTCCTACATGGGCCCAGTTCGAGCATCACAGTCCATGCTTGTCAGGGGTGACCATCTCCTTTGCTCACACTCATCTGTCTGGGCCAGGCCGCTGTCTCAAGACTGGCTATGGTGGGTCTGGAGCACCCCCTGCTGGACACTGTTGACTCTAAATCTCTCCATTAGGGGTAAAGTCTTGTACTAACTGAAGCTACCAGCTCAATCCAGCTGAAGCTAGATGCAAACCAGTTTGGGAGTTGAAGAAAGGCTAGGCCAGCACTCCTGAATAGGACACTCCTGTGTCCTTTTCTAAATAAGCTGTAAGCTCAGCTTTCACACAAAGACACAAGGGCCCCACGAATCAGTAGATGGCAGCTGGGTAATTCCTTTACGTGAATTTTACACCTATACACTGGACAATTGATATACCCCATAGGGAAGAAGAATGAACACTGAGTAAATTCTATTGTGCATAGATAACTATATA